GCCGGGGGTAGGTGATGGTGAAATTACTTTGGAAATAAATATTTGAATTATATATTTTTTTTTAAAATCACACTCCATTTAATGGTAGCATGTACATCTGTCTGCCTATAAATGCAAGTCCTTCTTGGGACATCTCTCTCTACCACTTAAGAGCAGAAAAATAAGAAAGTGACCCTGTGTGTACATGTGTGTGTATTTCCTCAAAATCTGAAGGTGAGATAAACTTGAACTTTAAGGGTTTGGGTTTTATTTAAAACAGGGAGAGGAAAGTACTCAGTTTACTAACATTTCATTTTATTTATTCTTGGCAATTATATCGTATCAAATCAAAGTCAGTCTTAAGTATTCCTAGAATATCCCCACACCTACTAGAAACTTCTCAGGCCACAATCTCTCTCCCAAGGAAGTGGCTCACATATTCAGGCATGGAGCCTGAGCTTGTGCCAGGTTACTCACACTCAAAGAAACACGTTGCAGTAAGTCCCACAGGTGGTTCAGAATAATGCTTTCCTTTGTAGCATTTACCTACAGCCTGGATGTGAGGAGATTCTTTTCTTAAAATCAGGTGTGTTCATACACCTTCTGCCGCAGAAACAGAGCCTTTTGGAAACAAATGCATCACAGCTCACTAAATCATGAGAAATCCATTCCCGTTTTAGAAATTCAATTTAGCTTGGGTAAGCCTCCAAGCTCTAAAAGTAAGCCCCATCACGAGGTTTATTATTCATAAATCTCTTTTTCAGGTTGGAAGGCTCCCAGCAGCCACTCTCCTTCCAGTATTTTTCTGCTTTTGTGTATCAATAAAAAAAAAATTAACTCTTGGAGTCTCTCTGGACAACCAATATCAAGGTGTGGATGAAGAAATCCAGCAACGTTATAGCTGCCCCCAAAAACCTTTTGGTTGTGTTCAAATTACTAATTTGTGATGAATAATCTAGATTCAGATCATTGTGTCTGTATTTATAAACATGCTTGAATTTAATTAAGCCATTTAAATGAGACAAAAAGATGTATAACTGAAGCTATGAGCTGTTGTTTCTTTCAAATAGAAAGTTATTTCCAGAAACAAATGAAATCTGTGGCTTGACTAATCAAATGATGAAGGCACTTTGCCCACACAGCAATGAAAAATCTCTGAACCTCCAAGCCCTGAAATATTTATTTTCTGCATTAAAAGAAATTATAACCCTAATATTTCTGAAAAACTGTCTTCCTACTGCAGATAATATCACAAAATCTAGTTCTAAAAGAAACATCAGGTTTGTTGGAGTGTGTGTAAGAGGTTAACATCCTGGGAAAATGAGGAGGATTTTGGAACATTCTGGAGCGTATGCAGGTCATATTTTACATCAATAAATTCCATGATGACAACAAAATAAATCTTGAAATTATGATAAATCTGATTCCCAGCAAACAGTGCTCTCAAGATAATATTCCATGTAATGAAATTGCAGGAAAGCCAGGAATCTAAATACCTTCTGAAGTTTTAATGTACCTGACTTGGGTCTTTTGTGATCCAAATAATCTCAAGGCACCCGTAGTTCACTCCCACAGTCTTTATTGCTTTGTATGTTAAATGGAGACCTCAACTACATTTACAATATTTGGATTAAGAACACGCTGACTTGTATGGACAACTAATCTCATTTGAGAATGTTCCTTTTATTATTACGTGTTACTATCCAAATCTCATAACATTTTGATGGGTTTTTTATACTTCATATTTTAATTCTCAAGGGTCCTTGCTCCTTCAAGACATGTAGACAGCTTCATTTGATATTAATAGGAAATATACATTAACATAATAGTGCTCCCTAGATACCTGTAATGACAGAGGGAAATCATTTGAATTTCAGTGGAATGTAATATTAGGTTAAAACAGAAATTCCAAGATGATCTCTCATATCAGGAATTTAAAATTAAAAAATTAAGTAACTTCAATTCTTTGGAAAATGTTTTTTAGATTACTTCTAGAAGTTTTCACCCTCATCTTTCTTGGGCTGTCCCAGCTTTTGTCTTTCCTCCTTTTTAGAGGCAAAAGCACAGAATTTAGAGTATAATAAAGTATCATATACAAATATCATATATAAGCCATTAAGCTGAAATTAAGGTATAGCATGTTAATAATAATTTAGACTTATACATTGCCATTATTCCATAACTGTAAAATAATCTCAAATTCCCTTTTCTACCCAAAAGTGACTATCATTTAATATCTAGAATGGTCTAATGAAAAACCTTATTCATTGCATCTGGAATTTTTCCATTCAATTAATTTTTATACCTCCATAAAAAACTCACTCAGTTTCCACTGGTGTGGACCAGTTTTCAGCTAAAGACATTCCAAGTCTTTGAATGGCAGAAAGTGGCATCACTTGTAATAGCTGGTACAAAGCTATTGGTGCAAAGCACTGAGCGTGTCAGCATGCTCTGAAGGACCAATATGATACCAACATAAAGCCAAGGGGCAGAGACATCGAGTACTAAGACCTCATCCTGGATTTGTCACCACGTGCCTGGTCTTCAGGTTTCTCAAGGCATGACATGAGACTCACACTGAGCAGTAGTTTCTAAAGTGTGAACCAGGTACCCTGGGGGCGTGCCTACATCCTTTAAGGGAGCCTAAAAGATCAAAAACGTTTTTGGTCTTATAAAAGATATTATTACTAGAAAAGGTAGAGTTTGATCTAAAGGATATTATCTGCTTTTTTAAATCTCATACTCTCACAAGTGAACAGCAGAATCTTCCATACGCTACACATCACGTGACGTAACAGATTGAACACAGAAAACCAACATGAAAATCCAGCTGTCCTCTGTCAAGCCAGACTTTAAAGAGATTTGCAGAAATGTAAAACTGTCACTTCTTACTAAATGTCCTTTTCCATTTTGGAAAATATAATTGCTTTTCGTTTTTTAAAATGTTACTTACATTAACACGTAGACATATTACTTTATTTTTAATAAATTAATAAGAAATGTATTTAATTTAAAATTTTCTCCATTTTAATTTCTAATGTAGCAGACAGTGTATGGCAGGTACAGCTGACATCAATAGCCTAACTTAAGCATACCCTGAGAATGACCCTATGGTCTAAGAAAAATGCGTGCTTAGAGTTCAAGTTCTGAGCTAGGGAATCTGGGAGTGGCCAACCCAGGGATTCATTCCTTATCTAGGAGGGACATCTGAATTCCCAGCCCGTCCCATGGAATGCAGGCCACACAGGGGATAGGAGACCTTTGTTTTGGAAGGAATGCAGGTTGCCAAGTGAAAGGGGTTGCTAAGTGAGAACGCTGTGTAAACACACTGCGTGCTTGTTACAGGCAGTTGTGGTTCTTTTATCCAGCCCACCAGACTGCCCTATAGGTAACTCCCCTCCCTAAATCGATCCTATGTCTCATTCACCAGCTCCAGGTCTTTTCTTCAGTGCCATCCCTAGGGAACTCAGCAGGGTTCCAGCATGACAAACATCAATAGATATCACCAACATAAACACAAGCTCTTTCGGATCCTCAAGAGTTCTTTAAAATGAAAGGAGTTGTGAAAACAAAAATGTTGAGAACAACTACAATAGAGAATCTCTGAAAAGTGTTTTGACTGTGAAACTCTGTACTTTTAAGGTTGTGAGGTTCACTGGGAAGGAACTTGCATGAATAGACACCTATGAACGCATGAACCAGGAAAATCAGTGGAGGCTCACAACGCCCTATGCTCCCCTACAGCGGACAGTGGGTCCTTCCTCATATAGGCAGCTGCAATGTTGCTCCTCCATTTTAAGCCCCATCCTGTGCTCCCTCCTCTGCTTTCTGTCTTCCTTGCCAGTACCCACCACACCCACCCCAACTCACACAGGAGACAGGAAAAGCTCTGGGCAGCAAAGGAGGAGCCATCAGCCTCATGGAAAACCTTGTTTCCTTCTTCTCCCAGCCACATAGCTCCAATTAGACATTGTGGAGCACCCACCTCTCTACTTACTGATATGACAACCCCACCAGCCAGGGGACGCTGAACTCACCCTGCCCTCCAGGACAGCCCTAAATGGGTAGGCATGTTGGCAGGCTGTAGACACAGAGCAGCATTCTTATGTTAGAGCCTTGCTCAGCTCAGACTCACCACAGAAGTTCCAAAGGGGTATTCAGGCCCCAGGGAATTACGACAGCTAGTATTTGGGATTGGCATTACCCACAGTTTGATTGGTAGACACTAGCATGTTTCATCCAGTTGGAAGGAAGAGTCATTTTCCATAAAAGGAGAGCTCATTTTGAGTTACCAGAAAGACGGAACACCCAGATTCTCACTTCGCCAGAACTATACCGTGGCCCTACGTGCATACCACTGGGTATTCATTATTATGCTTGTTCTTACGTTAACCGCTAAAGTTAGGGACCTGGGGTTCCAACTGGCTCTATTTCCTACAGGATCCATGGACTTCCCATTTCTAGCTACATCTCACTCACCCAAATGCCAAGCCTCAGTTTCCTGATCTGTAAAAATATGATGATCATTCCTACAATGTAGGGTCATGGTTGAAACGGGCCCATGGAGAGGCGGGATGCAATGTGTCTGTCACTGCTATCATTCTTATTTGCCAGTGAATCCCCGCAGTGACACTGACTCAGCACCTTCCGTTGGACTGGCACTGCGTTCTGTGTGCTCCGGAGGGCTGACACAAGTTTTAAAACATCGTTTCAGAAGTTGAGTACTTCACAGTTTTCAAATCACTTATCTCATTTGATCTCATTTTATCCTCACAACAACTCGGATGATTCTCACCCACCCTAATGAAGAAAGCAGAGAACTATATTTGCATTGTAATTATCATGTTGCCCAAAATGGGAGCCCTCGGATGGGAGGGAAACTTCTTATGATGGCATTCAGCTAGCTCAGTTTTCCTTGTAAGACCAGACCTCAGTGCTCACTGTGAATTGCTAAAATCCACTGTACGCTGACGCACAGACACATATAGTAAGCTGATTGGGATGGAAAGCATGGTCCGCACCTGCTGCGTACCCAGGGCTGCAGATGGCAAAAGAGAAAGAAGTTGGACTCTTCATGTCCTCTTACCATTTTCACCAGATGTCTTTTCTTTTCCATTGGTTGCCCCAGCACCTTGTCGCTAAAGGCATAAAAAGAAAAGAAAAAAGAAATTGTTATCAGATATACTCAGGATTACTTCTGTCTCTTTTATCATTGCAAACATTACATTATATCAAATTCTGTTACTTTAGCTCAGTTGGCTAAAGCATGGTGCTAGTGAGACTAGGAATGGATCCACCAAGCAAGGATGTACTGAAGATGCGCAGACAGACCCCCTCATCCACATCCACTGCTCTAGGAGTGCAGTTCACCAGTAACAAGAGAAACCAGGAGGGAGATCAAGGATAACTTGACTGAAAATATGAAGGTAACAGCCAAGGGTCTGTATCAGCTACAAGATCGGCATTGTCACTTTTGTTAATGATGGTCATGAGGCTGCTGTATTTTCATTCCAGTCACCATGTCCAATGTCTTCTTTTAAATAAATTTTAATCAGCTAAGAAACGCTTATGTTTCCTCCTACTTGTAAACTATGTTTTTCTGCCATTGTTTATGCCTGTCCTGTGCATTTTCATTTTACCAGGCTAACTAGAAGCATGAAGTCTTTTAAGGTTAGACTTAACTCTTCGGGCAAGAGTCTCTGCGTGTGAGGTCTGGGGAGCTATGTGAAATGCACCACATGTATAAACAGAGGGGTGTTTCCTCAAAGCTTAATATGATTCTAGCTGATGGACAGAGGAACATTTTGTCAATCTCATTTTTTGGTTGTTATCAAAAAATATGCTTTGAGTTGAAAGGGACTGAAAAGCTTATAAAGTCTCTAACTTTCAGGTGAAGAAAATGAGGAGGCAGGGAGCATGACTTGCACAGATCATGCAGTTAATGAGTGGTAGAGTCAACACTGGAGCCTGGACTTCCTTGCCCTCAGGAATTGCTACTGTCTGAACAGCGAGCACTGAACAAGGGGAAAAACTACCATAGGTGACTAAAGGATAAGGGTACCCTCAAAATGCATATTTGGGTCAGGTCTTCAGCCTAAAAACAATTTCATTAAAATAACAATTAGTTCCCCTTGGCATTCAACATTGTCGTGAGAAATTCTCAGGTCATTCATTAACCCTTAATTAATGGTAAATGGATCATCTGGGAAACTTTTACTTTCAGAGTCTGAGAATTATAAATTAATAGGGTAAATAATCAAGACTGATATTAACAAAGCAAACCATCCTCACGTATGCTTGTTGCCTTAAGCAGATAATAATCCAAGAAAAAAGCAAAGCAAAGCTTCCCATTTATTATGAATACCATTCGCCCTCTCTCTGAGTCAATGTGAAATGATTTAAACCAGGTAAACTATTTCTTAAATATAGTAGATCTGCGAGTCAAAATGCCTGCCTCCTTTTGTCTGTCCTTATGTTGATGCCTCCTCTTTTTAAGCACATGGCTGGTACGTTTGCTGCACTGGGTGGAAATCTGACTACTATTGAGTTGGACCAAATCTGAGATGCAACAGCCACCTCAGGTGATTAAACTCTGGCATTCGAATCCAGTATCTTTCCCTGTGTAATTCATAGATGGCTCACATAAAAGAAAAATGCACAGTATAAAAGAACGGTGTTTCAGAGTAGAATAAAGCCAAATTGAATGGAAGGCAAGTGCAAAATAGGGGCACACTCAACCCCACTGTCTTTAAATGCCTTAAACATGGATGCCTTTCAAATGTCATGAATAACATGTTCCATAAAAGATCACTTTTTAGAAACCAGAGGAGAACGAAAATGAAATGTGCACAGAGAAGAAAAGGAGTCATTTTTTTCGGGATTTCTAAGACAAGGTTTTTTGTGTGTGTCAGGTTGTATTTAATGGAGGCACAATGAAGCTGATTTATGTCGTAGGAGAAGGTGTCTCGCATCATAAAATGATCCCAACAAAAAAGAACTTGTTATTGAAAGTATCTCCTTTCAAAATTCTTTGAGATCTTTTGATATTTTCAATGGAGGCCTGAGGGCAAGGGGGAATTCTCCAAGAGCTACCCTGTTCCCAGGACCTGGTCTTTACAATGCCAGGCAGGTGCAGCTTCACTGAACTTACAGTGGAGAGAGTATGCCAGGCTGGGTGTCAGGTAATCGTGGCTCATGCTGCTGGGGCCAAGCTTCAAGGGCCCTCAAGTATCATCAACTCATTGAGTTCTGACAGCATCCCTGATGGATCAGATGCCCTCAGTGTCCTCATCAGCCTTACTTTACCAATTATATCCTGAGGCACAGAGAGGAACTTGCTCAAGTTCACACCACGGGGAAGAGGCAGAGCCAGAATTCAGCCCCCGAGATGCTGGCTCTGGAGCTCTCTCCCTTTTAGCGACTGTACATAAGCATCTCTCAATACTGTGTGCAGCCCCTGTCAGCAGGTGGGGAGTTAGGAGGCAGGGAGACTTGAGTTTGAAAGTGAATGTGACTTCATTAGCACCACAGGCTGGAGTTTTGAGAAGAGTTGGCTTATAGGAAGAAGCAGAGTCAAACAACAGCCAAGGGCTCAATTTCAGAAATGCTATCAGATCTTTGTTAATGTTTAAATAACATAAGCACCCAGAGCTAGGCTCTAGTAAAATAAAGAGCAGATGGATGGATGGACGGGTAGATGAATGGACAAGTAGATAAATGGGTGGGTGGGTGGGTGGATGGATGGATGGATGGATGGATGGATGGATAGATGAATGGACAAGTGGATATATGGGTGGGTGGGTGGGTGGATGGATGGATGGATGGGTAGATGAATGGACAAGTGGATAAATAGGTGGATGGGTGGGTGGATGGATGGATGGATGGATGGATGGATGGATGGATGGATAGATGAATGGACAAGTGGATAAATGGGTGGGTGGGTGGGTGGATGGATGGATGAATGGGTAGATGAATGGACAAGTGGATAAATGGGTGGGTGGGTGGGTGGGTGGATGAATGGATGGATGGATGGATGGGTAGATGAATGGACAAGTGGATAAATGGGTGGGTGGGTGGGTGGATGGATGGATGGATAGATGGATGGGTAGATGAATGGACAAGTGGATAAATGGGTGGGTGGGTGGGTGGATGGATGGATGGACGGATGGATGAATGGACAAGTGGATAAATGGGTGGATGGATGGATGGATGGATGGACAAGTGGATAAATGGGTGGGTGGGTGGATGGATGGATAGATGGATAGATGGATGGGTAGATGAATGGACAAGTGGATAAATGGGTGGGTGGGTGGGTGGATGGATGGATGGACGGATGGATGAATGGACAAGTGGATAAATGGGTGGATGGATGGATGGATGGATGGACAAGTGGATAAATGGGTGGGTGGGTGGATGGATGGATAGATGGATGGATGGATGGGTAGATGAATGGATAAGTGGATAAATGGGTGGGTGGATGGATGGATGGATGGATGGATGGATGGATGGATGGATAGATGAATGGACAAGTGGATAAATGGGTGGATGGGTGGGTGGATGGATGGATGAATGGACAAGTGGATAAATGGGTGGGTGGGTGGGTGGATGGATGATGGATGGGTAGATGAATGGACAAGTGGATAAATGGGTGGGTGGATGGATGGATGGATGGATGGATGAATGGACAAGTGGATAAATGGGTGGGTGGGTCGGTGGATGGATGGATGGATGGATGGGTAGATGAATGGACAAGTGGATAAATGGGTGGATGGATGGATGGAAGGATGGATGGATGGATGGATGGATGGGCAAATGAATGAGTAGATAAATGGGCAGATGGTTGAGTAGATGGGTGGATGACCAAATGAACAGACAGGTGAAGTCAGGTCCTTTACTAAGCAACCACTAAGGAAAAGATTCTTTTTCATGAGGCGATAGAGGTTAACATCCTGGGAAAGAGGCGTCCTTTTCTCTCCAACCCACTCTGATCCCCAAATAGGAGAAAACATAATCTCTTCTCTCTGTTCTAAATCAGCTCCAACTACAAGTTCATCATCCTAAGAACATATGCTGCCCACTGAACAGAAGTAGTCTTAGTTCAAAAGTGTCATTTATTATCATTGAACTAATAAATATAATCAAGTGTTCAAGAGAAAGGGAACAATAAATTGGCTTCAGAGCAAACCCTGATATGAGATTCTGGAGGTCTGAGCTCTTCTTAGGAATTTCAGAAATGCTTTAACAGCATTATCAATACCATCACTGCTTCATTTAGTGGAGATATCAGTATAATGTAGTACGTTAGGGTATGCAGAAGGCAGGACGCGTTCTCCCTAACCAAATATGCACAGCTGCTATGACCACTTTAATGCTGGAGTAGAAAACATGCTATTGGAATCACCTAGAGAACTAAGCACTAGAGTATTTGAGAACTTCATGAATGTGGCATTCCGACATCTGAAGAATTTGTCAGCATATATCTTCTTTGATGTTTTCCGAGAGATCTAGAGAGTGAGTCAGTTATGCCTGCTAAGAACATCAGGGGTTGACACGTGGGATTTTGCTTATCGTTTCTTCTGGGGAAGGAGATGGTAGTAGAGGAAAAAGTCACCATCAACTTCAACCACAGCAAAAGCAGAGCCATTAGATCTCCTAATAATTTCACTCCCAGAAGAATGAATGGATGGATGAATGGATGAATGGATGGATGGATGGATGGATGGATGGATGGATGGATGGGTAGATGAATGGACAAGTGGATAAATGGGTGGATGGGTGGGTGGGTGGATGGATGGATGGATGGATGGATGGATGGATGGATGGACAAGTGGATAAATGGGTGGGTGGGTGGATAGATGGATGGATGGATAGATGAATGGACAAGTGGATAAATGGGTAGATGGGTGGGTGGATGGATGGATGGACAAATGGATAAATGGGTGGGTGGGTGGATGGTCTTGCAGGTCGCCATGAGTCTTGCAGACTATATCACAATACTCAACTCAGATTTTCTCATTCTTCTCCTGATCATCTCCAGCCTGACACCCACCCTAAAGACGTCTCTTTCATAAAATGCTCCTGTGTCAAACCCTCCTCAACATCTTGTCCGCATGCAGACATGGCATCTTCCTGAATGCTC